GGTAATTGAGGTAAAATGAGGTCCCAAGTGTTTCCTAATCCAATATGACTGGTGTCCTTTCAAGAAGAGGAGATTAGGACACAAAAAGGCACAGAGGTAAGACCACATGAAGACAGAGGGAGAAGATGGCCGTCTACAAGACAAGAAGACAGGCTTCAGAAGAAACCAACCCTGCTGACATCTTGATCTTAGACTTTAGCCTCCAGAAATGTGAGAAAATAAATTTCTGTCATTTAAGCCATTCAGTCTGTGGTATTTTGTTATGTTGGCTCTAGCAAACAAATAGAGCCTTCTATCTCAGTTCTTTGCTTTCAGTCATGTCCTTCTGAAAATCGATACTTCTAAAAGTGGAATGATCTGTCTCAATCACTGGTCTGTGTCACTTGCCTGCTTAAAACCCTTCAGTAGCACCCTACCTCTCCCTGTGGTGTTTTCTACATTTAAGTTTTCTGGAACATTTGTTATTAAGATGTCCCCAGGTATGTAAACTTGGAAACTGTAATTCTCCAACTCCAAGGAGTACAATGTCCACTTACATATTAAAGCCTCCAAGAAGTTTTGTAGCCAAAAAACCCAGGTTAACTTGATTTAACCCAATATTTGCCAAATTTAGCTGACTATGGAGGTTTTTTCTTAGTATAATACACATTATATCCACCACAACTTTGTTCTGTAATACAAACTAGGAAATGCTGCCCTACATAATCAAGTCCACATACTTTAACATGTCATCCAAAATGAGGATCACCAGATTTAGCCAACAGAAATATAGGATGCCTAGTTGGATTTGGAATCATTTGTTGTTTATCTGAAATTCAAATTCACCTGGGCATCCTGTGTTTTATCTGGCAATTGGATATGGGACCCTTTGTGACCTATAATATAGCGAACAGACTGAACCAAAATGAATTTGATAAGAATTCCCCCTTCCACCTCCCCCCCCAGTTAACATGCAAGGAAGAAATGAATTCAAGGTTGACTCCTGGCTTTTAGTTGGATTCCTTGTATTTTCCACCAACCCTTGTTCACTTAAAGCAGTGTCTCTCCTTCCTGGCTGCACATCTGAATCATCTGAGGAGCTTTTAGAAATCTTACACCTTAATCCCAAACCAAGGGATTTAGAATGGGGGTCGCTGAGTGGGGACTTTGAAAGGCAGGGCTGGGAGGAAAGTAAGCAAAGCAAGGGTCCAGGGAGCCAGATTTAAGGAGGCCTTCACTTTCGGGGCCGACCATGCATTCGAGCAACCCTGAGAGTGAGGGCCTCCTTAAATCTTTGTCCTAAACTCCTACTGGCCTCACCCTGACAGGCCCCATTGGTTCAGGATTTAGGGGAAGAGCTTGCAGGGGATTTCTGAGAAGCCCTGGGTCCTATCGCTGCATTTTGTTGCTTTACAAGGAAATTTCAACCCTTTCCAGCAAGAGCTCTAGCCCATAAGCGTGAGTCAGAAGAGACTTCAGCAGGCCAGGTTTTCCTGAAATGTAAACTTGCAGTGGTTTCCTCTAGAAGGCCACACTCAAAAAGTTTTAAATGTTTGGGTTCCTGATTCTTCTTTTCAGTTGAGGCTGGTGATGTTTGAGTAGCTTCTAGTCCCTTGGCAACCCATAACTTCTGTATCAAAGTCAAGTATGGTTTAAACTTTCTGAAAATGTAAGGAAAATATGTGCTTCACTTCTCTATGATTTTATGGATTCTCATCCCCTTTCCTCCCCCTCCTCCACCCCACTGCTTTCTGCCCTTTCTGGCCAGAAATTTCACACCCCATGACTGGCAGTCTGGTCAGAAAGGCACACTGGAGACAGCGTCTAGGACAGCTTGTCCAGGAACAACCAAGGCCAGCTTCAGGAGGCCAGCTCCTTACACCGTCTCTTCCTTCACTGGCCTCCAAGTTCCGTGATATCATTAGCGATCTGCCTCCGCCCCTCTGGTACTGGCTGGTGGCCAGACCCTTTAGGCTGATTCCCAAAGGCTCTGTGAGTTTTAAAACAGTAGGGAAAGAAACTGTAATTTTCCAGTGCTGAAAAAGGATGCTAGTGGTCGATGGAAGCTTCCAGCACAGCCAAAATTAACTTCTTTCTATTGTGATAATTGAGTGATTTTCAATGATGTTCTTCTTATAATTGGGTTCAAAAAGTACCTTCTCAGAGGAAAATTTGGAAGAGAAAAAATGCAAGGCAAAGGTTAAGATAGGGCAGTGTTTGCAGCAATTTCCTGGCAATATCAAGATCACAGAATTACATGGGTGTATCTCACTTGGCTTAATAGCTATGTCCCTGTAAACTTTCACATAAATGGAATTTTTTAAAAAATTAAATCACTATAACTACACGGGGAAAGATTGTCAAATAAAGGAAGGCTTAGGTGCTATACTTTATAAAGTAAATTATCCTTAGATAATGTACCTCATCCCTCCCAAGCACACACACTGATCTTTTTTACAAGTTTGAATTTTTCACAGGCTGGATTTCATGAGCTCTGAGGTCACAGTTGTTCTCAGGCTCTTCAACTGAACTTTTCATAATGTTCTCTGAGGAATGAGTAGCTGCTGGGTTCTGTGGGAACTTTTAAGCTGAAAAAGTCATCCCTGTGGGTAAACTGACCCAAAATCCTCCTTGTCTACCTCCACAGTGATGTGTCCTCTTGAGTACCCAGAGAAATTGGAAACGCTGATGGGGATATGCTGAAGCTAAATGGTGGCAAATTCAACATGAAAAGCAGTATGGTCTCATGTATAGTCTGTGACCAGACTGCTCTGACTCTACCTCTGTCCTCTAGCTGGGTGACTCCCTGAACCTCAGTAGCCTTATCTGTAGAATGGGGCGAACCTAATGGTACTATCTCAAGGTAACACCTGGCATTTTTAAATGCTCAAAAAGTGGTAGCTATTTTTAACTTGCCTGGGCTAGCTCTATTAGAGTACAGGGGAAAAATATCAAAAGACCAAAGATGCTTATGTCTACTGATAAGTGCTGGTCCATGCCAGATACATGCTGAATACTTTCATTTAATCTTTATATCACATACACAACATCGTTAATATTATCCTTACTTCCCAATGAAAACTAAAGCTCAAAGAAGTTAAGCAATTTTCCTTACGTGACACAGCAAATAAAGGGCAAAGCAGGTATTTGAGACCAGTGCTATTGTTCCTTCCACTCTTTCTCAGACCTGAGACCAAAACCCAAAAGCGACTTTTCAAAGATGAAGGTTTAGGACCTGGAGGGTATTTGGACTTAGAAGTAAAATTGGTTCAGGAAGTTCAATCAAGAAAGGAATAGAGGGAAATTCTTTGATTTATTCCATAAAGATTGATTGAGAATCCACAGAATGCTAGCACTCCAGCAAAGATGGATAAGGCCTCACCCCTGGCCTCAAAGTCCACTGGGGAGATAGTCATGCAAAATTACAATAAACCCCAGCCAGTGGTAGGATTTGGGTGTGAACAATGTGCCGTTGGATCCATAAATTTAAAAAATGACCAACTTTACCAAAGAAGGCTTCCAAAGAGAGGTGACATTTGAAGGCTTTACAAGTATCTTATTTAATCTTCTAGTACTGGGGAAGCAGGCAAGGTATGACCCTGGGGCAGAGACAGCTAGGTACCCAGCTAGGATGTAAAGTCCCCTTCTCACTTGTAAAGGGAAGCCTGACTTCACCCGAGCAAGCAATACGGACAGCTCAAAGTCTATATTTTTCTACATTTTCCAGACTCTTTTATAGGCCGCTATCCCCATAAAATGGAAGCAGAGGTCACTGGGTAAGACTTCCAAATAAGCTTCTTAATAAGGTATGGGCTTATGTGGGCTTTTTTTCTTACTCTTTTCCTCTGTTTCCTGCCACCTGCCTAGAGTACAGATTTGATGGCTAACGCTCCAGCACCAACTCTTGTGACCTTGAGAAAGGAGGCCACAACCTACGGACGGCAGGGCAGAAGAACAGAGGAGCCTGGGTCCTTGATGACCATGACTTTCTGTACCAGCATCACACTGCCTCCCTCCAGGCACGTCTGCCTAAATGAAGGAAAAACAAACTTCTATCTTGTTTAATCCCATGTTATTTCTGGTTGTTGTTATTAGCATCTGACCTACTCCTTAACTGGCAGATGCCCCTGAGGTTATTGGTGCCTGACTCTCCAACCCCCATTCTTACCCACCACCCTGTACTGTGGGGCAAACCTGTAGTCCTAATGCAACTCAATAGCCTAGAGTATTTCCTTGAAATTCTAATCTCTTTTGTCAACTGGCCCTGGAAGCAAGCACACAGCCTGATACACAGCGGGACTCAGTAGTGTATGTTGAATGAACACAGTGAATAACTGTCCCTCAACCACTTCCCCAACGAACTATTTTTCTGAGGGGCTGTGGAATGATCCCTCCTTCTCAGATTTCCCCAGGCTGGTGTCAGGATGAAGTCTGTGAGAAATCTGAAGTGCTTGGAGATACGTTTTTTTTTTTTTTTTTTTGAGGCAATAATAAGTTAGAAATCAGAAATAATAAAAATCTAAACAAAGATATACATAGAGATTCCTTTAATTAGGTAAAATTCTTTTAATGGTAAAGCAAAAAATAAATGGTATGAAAGTAAGAGTTGTTATCTCAAGTCCCTTTTACAAAAAACTACTGATTGCAAAAATAACAGACATGACTATAAAAAATTCAAAGTCCTCTCATAACTCTTTCTATATAACAGACTGATAAACATCCTTTCCACTCTTTTTCTATACATAAAAGCATTAAATATAAATGGGGTTATAAAAATGAACTCACAGTGTGTATACTATTTTGCAACCTTTGTTTTTTTCACTTAACATCATATCTTAGACATTGCTCCACATTTTGCATTTAGATTAATCTGGTTCTATTTAAGGCAGGAGAGTATTCTGTATTCCAATGCTCCCCTTTTTTAAAAATGTGTCTGGCTTTATCTTTGACCTTGTGCTGTAAAGCGTCACCAGGTGTTTACAAGAGGTGGTTGATGAGAAGGACATCAGAGATTAACTCACCCTTAACTGGAGTGAGCTGGTTCCTGGAGTTGTCAGGCTGACAAATGTTCAGTTCTGGAAAAAAACAATATGCCAGGATCAATGTTTTATGAACAGAAGGCCATGAAGCTCTGAGCTAGGAGCAAACAACTTGGGCTGGTCAGGAGAGCTGATATGCTTCTTGGATCCCTGAAAACAGCTCTCTCTGAAGCCTTCCTGGCAACTGAAGGCACAGATGCTGGCCTGGGGTTGGGATTTGGGTCACCTGAGAAGCAGGTATCATTCTTCAACTTCACAGAAAATCAGTTCTTGATTGACCTTCTCCTAGAGCATTGAGAACTTGCGGAGATTTTAGGAAGATGGCGGCGTAGGAGGACGCTGGGCTCACCGCGCGTCCTGCTGATCACTTAGATTCCACCTACACCTGCCTAAATAACCCAGAAAACCACCAGAGGATTAGCAGTGCCGGGTAGTCACCATCCTGGGCTCAGGTAGTAGGGAGAAAGTGGTCAAAAAAGGAAGCCAGCAGGCGTGACCTCTGTGCTGGGACATTTGGCTCTCGATGGGGACATGAGCAGTAGGACTCACTCCCACCACTCCATCAAAATTAAATATACGCATAGTCCACACGATTATCCGGAACCCATAAATCAACCTGATTACAGCTACTGTAACCTGAGCTTGCTTGGTAAATGTTGAGAGCAGCTGCTATGAGTGTGGGTAGGCAGCTGGGCTCAACCAAGAAGACTTTGGGGAGGATGGGAGTTAATCATCCAGCAGGATTTGAAAAGAGGGAAGGAGGCCCAGAGGTCAGAGCCCAGCGGCACAGATGCACATACCTGTGGCAGAAGCTGGATGTGGCCATGGCTGTGGCTGTACAGAGGCTGTGTTGGTGGCGGTAGCAGTGGTTCTGGCTCAGCTGTGGCAGGAGGGGTAGGGTAAGGGTATTAAGAAAACCAACAAGGGAATTAGTTCAGGCAGGAAGGAGAGTTTAACATGGACTGCAAGGAACCTGGGGGGTGGGGCAGGTAAAAGAGTGCAGGTGCCACTGGCTTTTGAACCTGTGTTGGGGAGATTGACTTGAATAGATTGGCAATAGGGAGCAGCCGTGTCTTGGGCTGAGCCATCCCTGAGGAAAACCAGGCAGGTCATGGCTGCACCTTCTGAGTCCCTGCGTGCCGTGCGCCTGTAAGGAAGCTGCTCCACCTGGAACCTCACCGCCCCGCTCTTGTGCAAGCTGGTAATACACACCCAGTGTGTATCCAGTATTACTGACTCACTGGTAAAGTAGTTCAGGATTTTCTAGCTGACCAGCTGGCCCAACTAGCATTTCTTCCTCCAAGATGGCAAAGCAGCCAAGCCCGACTTCCAGTCCAGAGTGTCAGTGTCCTCCAGCCAGAGAGCACCAGGATCACCTGGAGCTGAACAGTGTTGGGGTTACCGACCAGTTGCAGCGAGGGCTAACACACAGCGTGGGGAGCCGTGGGGTGTCTCAGTGAGAGGATATGACAGAGAACTTACAGGAGTTAGCTTTGGCTCAGGTGATATTGGGGAGGGTTCAGAGAGGCGGGATTTTGCTCTGGATTGGGTGTTATCAGAAGCAGGGGTAATTCTATGGGTATCTTGATTATTCTTACATAAAAGGCTAAGAGGAGGGAGACAAGGCTAAAGCTATAGTTGGTAAAGAAATATCAGTCACACATTTTAGCCAAGAAAGGGGTATCTTTAGTCATTTTTGTGGTTTGGACAACGTTCTTATTTTTGTCTAAGTCCAGGCATGATTATGGAGTAATCTTGTTTTGCTTTGCTTCATCAGGGTCACAGAGCAGCCTTGGCTGATGCTGGAGTTCTATGGAAATATTTCTGTTAAACATGAGAACATCATGGCCAAGCTGTGAGTGCCAGGCTAGGTCCTAGATATTGGGGGCTGTTTTCTCTTTCTCAACTAGAACTGAGCCCTGTGTCTAAAGACAGCCAGGAACCTTGGAGTGGAAAGAATCTGAAGGCTTGCAATGTTCACATCTTAAGCAGAAACTCCTTCTGGAGGGCTGGAGAAGAGGCTTAGAGAAGCCAGGCGCTCCCGATTTAAGGCTGCCTCTGGTCTCATCATTCAGTCAACAAATATATACTGAACAGCTAATATATTCAGGCACTTGGGATAGAGCCATGAGCCATATAGTTTTCATGGTGTGGATGTTTTACTGAGGGGCACCAGAAAATAGGGGTGGAGAAAGAAGAAGATAGTCTTAGGTAGTGATAAGGAAAGTTATAAAGAAAATAAAATTCACTGATGGAGTTGAAAATGGCTTGGGGTCCACTTTGGAGAGATGACCAAGTACATCCTGTCTGAGGAGAGATGAGAGGTGCGACGTGAAATTTTGTGGTGAGAGTATTTCAGGCAGAAGAAACAGGATGTGCCAAGGCTTCTAGGAACAGGAACAAGATGTGTGTCTCTCTAGCGTAGTGAGTGAGGGAGAAATAGGCTAAGGTCAGAGAGGTGGGCTGGGTCAGGGAGCTAGAGGCCAATGGAAGACTCTAGAGGCAAGAACTGCAGGACCTCACACCTCCTTCAGAGACAGCAGAAGTTTGTGACATATTAATGTCTCTCTACATCCTAAGGCCTCTTACCTGCCACAGCCCTTCCCTCCAAGCCTGGGGGGATACACCAGATATACCAGAAATGGTCTGAAATTCTCCTTACCTACAGAAGTCAATCATTGCTTAGAGTAGTATATTCATTTTCCATTTCTGCTGTACCAATTACAACAACTTAGTTGGTTCAAACAACACAAATATGTCACAGTTCTTGAGGTCAGAAAGCCTAAAATCAAGATGTTGGAAGTGCCATGTTCCTTTTGGAGGCAGTATCTGCTTCTTCTGGAAATATCTTTCTTCTAGAGTCTGCCTGTATTTCTTGGTTTGTGGCTCTTCTATCTTCAAAGCTGATGACAGAATATCTTCAAATCTCTCTCTCTCTCCCCCCCCCCCATCCAAAATCCTGCTTCCATCATCACATTCTGTTCCTTGACTCTGATTCTCTGGCCCCTCTCTCATAAGGACCCTTGTGTTTACATTAGGCCCACTCAGATAATTCAAGATAATCTCCCAATCTTAAGATTCTTGACTTAATCACATCTTCAAAGTCTCTTTTGCCACATAAGATAATATACTCACAGGATTTGAAGATGAAGACTTGGTCATCTTTGGGGAGCCATTCTGTCTACCACAGGTAGTCACGTGGGGAGCAGAGAAGTGAAATTTGCCCCAAGCCATTCTACCAGTGGGATGAATACTTGCCCCACCTACCTCAGGAAGTTGTTGTAAGTAACACATGAATTAATGTGGCCTAATTGGAAGAATAAGAAGTACCATAAAATCTAAGGAGCAATTATGAAGTATTATGAATCCTAGGAAACATGAATGCAAAACAGGTGTTATATAGTAATAGAAAACTCTAGAACTGAAAGAGCCAGTTTTGAGTCCTGCTGTCCAAAATACTTGCTGCATTACCTTGGACAAGTGAGTTAATGTCTTTGAGTTTCATTGTGTATAAAATTTAGAAAATGCTATCTTCTGATAACAGTATTGTTGTGAGTTAAAACCAGGTAACATAGGCGGGGGTGCTTTGTGAAATGCCACACAAATGTTCTTCGTTCAATATTTCATAGGCAAGCACCCAAATACTTTTTCCTAGATGCACAGTGGAACCAGGCAGTAGAGTAGCACCTATCAGACCAATACCAACAGGTTTTGAATCTCCACTGTACGGAGTGCATGAGAAATAAAGAGGAGACAATAAACAAAGGGCCTCTCTCATTCTCTCTCTCCTCAACTACTGAGGGGTCAAAAGGTGGCAGGAAGAAAACCGTAGCATCTAAAATGGTTATTCAGAACAACACAAAATATGCCTATTGAGAATACAGACTCTCCTGGCAATGAAGAGATTTAAGTTCAATCTGATATTCTCTGAAAAAATCATATTTAAAACATTAAGTTGCTCAAGAACTGCCTTATTCATTCAGCACCTTTTATGTGACCATGTGCATAGCACTTGATTGTAAATGTGCATGCAATACATGCTTTCTGAGTGTGGTCTGTAGACCCACAAACACATGCATTTATTCAGTGTGCCATTATTCAGCACTGACCTACACACTAGACACTGTCCTTGGTGTTGGGGACACGATGGGAATTAAAGATAGAAAACCTCCCTACCCTCATGGAACTTCTAGGTTAAGAAGATGAATATTCATGGGGTGCCTGGGTGGCTCAGTCGAGTAAGGGTCCATCTTGAGCTCAGGTCATGATCTCACAGCTCATGAGTTTGAGTCCCGCATCTGGATCTGTGCTGACAGCTCAGAGCCTGGAGTCTGCTTCAGATTCTGTGTCTCCCTCTCTCTCTGCTCCTCTACCCCCTCATACTCTGTCTCTTGCTCTCAAAATTACACATTAAGAAAAGCTTAAAAAGAAGATGAATATTTATCAAACAATTCCACAACTGAATGTAAAATTAAACCAAAATATTTCAATGGCAAGGTTCAAGATGCTATGGGAGCTTACCAAAGGAGTCCTAACTTGACCTCTAAAAATTCACAATTGAGCTGAGATCTGAAAGCTGAGAAAATGTATTCAGAGGAAAATTGAGGAGGGAACAGCTTTCCAGGCTGAGGGAAAGCCTGCACATGCAAGGGCAAAAATGAATGGAGTGTTTGAAGGCCTGAGAGAAGGCCATTATGTCCAGACTGTGCAAGTGGGAGGGACGGTCATCAAGATGTGGACTTGAGAGGAGGGCAGGGTAGTGCCAGCTACAAGGATCACTATGTGAACAGGTGCAGTGACTGACAAAGTCACGACATAGTGTTTCATCCAGTCCCAAACTTTGTTTTGATTTTAATATTCTTAATGAGAATCCTATCATTGTATGTTCATAACCTGAAAAATTCTTTAAATAATTGATTACATGACATAGTTGCTACTAGGATAAGAGGCACATTAAGTTACCTCTCATAGGTGCAGGAATGGTGCCCAGGTTGACCTTAGGTGTCCATCCCTGGCCCCACAGACTGGCTGCAAGACAGGATACTGAGACCAGAGCAGCTGTTAGATCACTAATAGCAACTCTTGCCTCAATCTTGTGCTTTTCCAAGCATCTCACATAATGATCAGGTTTGACTTCCACAAAGTAGCTATAAAGATAGTGTTTTAACAGTAGGGAGAACGTCCGATGACTTACCACAAGTCACATGGGGACAGAGGTGACACTTGAATATGAATTCACTGCTTCTAGATAAAAATGGTTTTCCCCATAGACCACCACTGAGTCACTTGCACACTCTCTCTGACATCCTTAAAGTCATAGAACTCTAGAATTTTCAAAATTGATGGGAATCCTGAACATCAGCCAACTTATTCAATTCTCTCATTTGGAAATTCCAGGAAGTCTGAAATTTTTGAGGAGCAATAATATTTCAAAAAGGACTAAAAGTGCTATTTTCCACTAAAGGAAGAGAGAAGTCATTGTTCTGGTCTTTTCTAGTGACTCATTATTGGCTTTCTTATATGTGATATAATAGGAAGACTGTTCCGTCACTAATCAGCTATGACCTTTCAAACTAGATCTCTTTCCCCACATATTCTCCATTTTATCACCCTGAAATAAAAACAGTGACCACAACTAAGGATATCAAGTTCATCTTGCATCATAACCCAGCACATACACACTACACGCACACACATGCAGAACTGAAACAAAAGTTCCAAGAATCTGTACTTACTCTCACTAGTGCAATGCACACTTTTCTGTTCTACTTTTCAGAAAAGATCTTTGCAATCTACTAAATTGATTTTACTACCCACTAAAATTTTAAATCCTAATGTTGACAAACACTGGACTGGACACCCTCTGAGGTGCTTTCCAGCCCTCAATCTCTGATCCCCCTTGGGGCTTCTCAGAGTCTCTGTGAGGTTTCTTTCTAGGAAGGCAAGTGTCTAACCCCCCTGATCTGGCAGCTGCAGGGATGACTCGGGGGTTGACACTATCTATCAGTCCTTTGGCCTCACAAACTACTAGTGGTTTGGGGGCAGTTTGTCCCCACATGAATAAACAAAGCATCAAACAGGACCTCTGACCACAGTCAGCCAACATTAGGTAGAGAAAGGTCCATATCCAGAGTCAAACTGCAGTTAGAGAATTTTGCTAGTTTCTGCCAGCTCCCCATCCCAGATACCTACAGACCACGTACACACATACTGCACACCTTACCCATGCACATACACCACACACATCACACACAAGCACACAGAGCCCATACACAATTTACACACACATATACATACCTTGCGTACCCCACACTCACACATACTCACCCACACACATCTCACACAACACACACATACATTCATAGACCCCACGCACATCTTATACACACATACGACAAACTGGTACACACACACACACACACACACACACACACACACACACCAAAAAACTCTTGAGAGTCCCCAGAATTCCTCAGTTATAAAGCAGGAAATCCTATAATTTGAAGGTGAATGAGTCAGAAGAAAAGAATTTAAAGTGAATTATAATCACTCCTCAGCATAATAGAATATTTTTAACAGTTGAGAAAATGTGTGTAAAAGTATACGGACAATTCAACAAAGACACCACTGAAGTAGCACTTTGTTTTTTAAAAGTATACTATTTTTTTAAAAACCAAATACTTTTAGTATGATATTTGAATTTTCCTTTTATGGCTGCTTATTTTTAATGTTATATGTTAATTTGTTACCTTGTTAATTTGTGAGAGCTTAATACTGTGTATTTAATGTTTTAATCCTTAAGAACTTACACATTTGCTTAATGTTCTGAAGCAGGCTTATAAATGTGCCCTTTCAAAAAGCATCACACATATTGTTTCACTGATGTTTTCTTTTTTCTTTTTTTAATTTTTTTTTAACATTTATTCATTTTTGAGAGACAGACAGAGACAGAGTGCGAGTGGAGGAGAGGCAGAGAGAGAGGGAGACACAGAATCTGAAGCAGGCTCCGGGCTCTGGGCTGTCAGCACAGAGCCCGACGCGGGGCTCGAGCTCACAGATCGTGAGATCATGACCAACCGAAGTCGGTTGCCCAACCACTGAGCCACCCAGGTGCCCCTCACCGATGTTTTCAATTTTATAAATTCTGAATATTCTGATAACGATCTCAATCCCGGGAGTTAACTAGTAAGCGAAGTAAATCACAAAATCCTGCTATTACCATTTTGCCTTAGAATTGCCATCAGCTGCAGGGACCTGGAGAACACACTTGTTCCCAAGCCCCCATGACGCTTCCCAAGAAGCCTTTGGCACCCATTCTAGGACTTGGCTTCTGGAAAGCTCTCAAGAAATGCCTGATGAGACAATGGCTGAAAAAGAACAAGGGGGTAGGCAGAGAGCATAGGAAAAGAGAAAAAGAAGGAAGAAGAGAGAGAGAAAGGTAAAGGAAGAAATGGAGGGAATGAGAATGGGGCAGGGCAGATAAAAAGAGTGAGATAGACAGAAGGAACTGTATGTTGCTTCTGTCTTAAATGTCTGTTCTGTGTGGAAAATGGAAATCAAAAACCATTTCTATGACAAACCTTGTTTAGAATATTACTGCTGGAACCCACCTGGTGAAGTGACAACTTTGTGGGAAATTCACTGGAAAATTTAGCTTTCCATCTGCAATAGAGGAAGCAAATTCTTGCTGAGACATTTGACAGACACACAGCTGTGGACATTATTTCTCTGTGCACTTTGCTATGGTAACGAAAGCCATGTCATGGAAATATACACATCACTTACCTACAATGGTTTTCTAAGGCTCATACTTGAGTTTTGGAAGGAATTTTACAGTTTTGCTTTTTCACTTAACAATGAAAATAAATAAATACTGCTTATTTTTGAATAGTCAGAAAACACAGAGAAGCATAAATAAGAAAGTAAAGATTACCTATTATCCAAAACATTCAGAGATAGCTATTCACACTTGGTGTTCTAGATTTTATTTTGAATGCAAACATGTAGAAAATATACATATATATGATCATACTGTATGTTTTATTGTATAATCTTCAGTTTCACTTAATATATTGAGAACATCTCTGCCATATTTTCAATTATTGCATAGGTCTCTCTTCTGCTATTGACAAATATTTAGGTGTGCCAAATTTTTTGTTATTATAAATGACACACTAAAGAATATTCTTGAACAGGCATTTTTGTGCATTTATCCTGTTATTTCCTTAGGATAAGTTCTTAAATGTGAACATTTAAATGTCAGCGTGCACACCTTAAAGTGCTGTATCAATTTGCCAAATTGCCTTCCAGAAAGTCGGAACCAATTTACATTCCCTTTAAAGTGTATAAATGCCCTATTATCTCAAGCCCTCATCAACACTAGTTATTATCATTCTTTTTAAAATTTTCCAGTTTTATAGGTTAAAAGATATTTTCATTTTTGTTTTAATTGGCATTTCATTTATTACCAGTGAGGTCAAATGTTTTTTATGTTTATTGGCCATTTGCATTTCTCTTTTTTGTGTAACTTGCCTGACCAGGTGCCAACTATATTTTCCTAATGGGTTTTTTATCTTTTCATTGATTTCTAAGAGTTCTTCATAATTCAAAAATATTAACCCTTTGCTGTCATGTGTGTTGTGAATTTTTTTCTCAGCTTTTCGTAACTTGGACTATGTAGTTTAGATGTATAGAAGTTTTGGTTTGCCTTAAGTGACCAATATGTTAATAATTCCTTTTTATGTCTTACCTTTGAATCATGATCAGAAGAGTATTTCACATTCCAGAATTATATAATTTTTACCTATGTTTTTTTCTATTTTCCCTTGTTTTTTACTTTTATATTTTTAAGCCATCTGAAATTTACTTGACATGTCATGTGAGGTAGAAATCCAAATTCTTTTTTTTTTTTTTTTGAAGTTTATTTATTTATTTTGAGAGAGACAGAGACAGCATGAGCAAGGGAGGGGCAGAGAGAGAGAGAGAGAGAGAGAGAGAGAGAGAGAGAGAGAGAGAGAATTCCAAGCAGGATCCTCACCATCAGTGCAGAGTCCGATGTGGGGCTCAAACCCACAAAACCATGAGGTCGTGACCTGAGCCGAAACCGAGAGTCGGACGCTGAGCCACCCAGGTGCCCCTCCAAATTATTTTTCTAACATTTGGACTGAATAGTCCATGGTTTTCCTACTGATTTGAAATACCTTCTTTACCGTATTCTAAATACTTACACATACTTGAGCTGTTCTGTTACTTGCCTTTTTGTAGTTTTCTGAAGCCCCAAGTCCGTGTGTTAGTCCTTTAGAACTATTATTTTAACTGTCCAGATTGAAAGTTGTTATTTCATAGATCCCTCAGACTTTTAGAATAATGGCTGCTACTTCTAATAGAAAGAACAAGATCTATTTATTTACTTTGGAGGTGTGGTAAAGGAGAGAATTTACCCCTAGGTCTTAGAGTTTCAAATGTAGAAAGACCTGAAGCTCTTCTATTCAAATCTCCTAATATTATAGGTGAGTGCTAGAAATATTAGTTGACTTGTTTATGGTTAGCACAGCTAGCAGGGCAGAGTTGAGACTAGAACCAAGACTTGAACCAAAGCTAGTTAATGGAGAGGTGAGACATATTCCCCTAAAACCATGCTGGTTGAAGATGGTTCCAGTGAGGGTCTATCAAGGACAGCAAAAGCAGAATTAATAAAATGATCCTGCTTAAGGATAGTTTTGTCCTAGATCTCCAGAAGTTAACAACTGAAGAAACTGAGAAGTTTCTGGAGCACTTGTTAAACGTAGAGGAGCCTTTGCTGTTAACTGACTAAATCCTTAGAAAGCTCCCCACAGGAAGGAAACATCTATAGATATTACAGACGTGCTAAATACCGAGCAGGTAAGTACACGAGCACATTCGGGAGTCGCAGCTTACCAAGCATTGACCTTTCAAAGAGAAGTTTAAGACATTTCTCAGAAGTACCCCTCTCACCCTGGTTGACTCTGTACGGTTCATTCAGGCCAGATGCCAGCAAGCTCAGGCAGCTGAGAGGTAGGAAATATGTGTGGCTCTGAGAGTCCGCCAAAGGAGAAAAGCTTTTCATAGCCAAGGCAGGAGAGGAAACTGATGATCCGGGAAGAGTTGTGCTATGTTTGTGTTTTCTTTTCTCTATTGAGAAGATTTTCAAACTATTCTTTAAAAGCCATCCTGGCTCCCACTCACCCCTCCCACCTCATGGAAATCCGTTCTCTAGCAAACAACCTTCTATCTAAGGTCACTGCAGTTTTCAAAATATGTGCGGTTTCCTAAAGATACTTTTTAGTTTAATTTATTTTTCAATAGGAAGTATATAGTCCTATGGTCTAAAATTCAAAAGACACCAAAGGATGTACAGTGAGAAGTCTCCCTTCCATCCATGGCTACCCAGTTCCTGTCCTGGCAAAAACAAGTTCTAGTTTCTTATATACCATTCCAGAATTATTTTAGACATACTTAAATATATAATCACACATATATTCTTTTGTGAAAATTTTTACATGAGGGGTAGCTTACTACGAACACTGTTCTACACCTTGCCATTTTTACTTAATATCTTGAGGATATTTTGTATCCATAAGTTAAAGAGCTACCTCATTCTTTATTATAGATGCATTTCATTATACTCTATTGTAGGAATAAAGAATATTTCATTTAATCAGTTCCCCTATAGATATTTATTGTCTGAATTTTGCCATTACACGATGGTACAACATTTTACACAATGGTGTGGAATACATTATTTTACACATCCGCAACTTTATATCAAGAATAAAGTCCTGGAGGCCTGGGTGGCTCATCCGTTAAGCCTCTGACTTCGGCTCAGGTCATAATCTCACGGTTTGTGGGTTTGAGCCCCCAAGTCAGGCTCCGTGCTGACAGCTCAGAGCCTAAAGCCTGCTTTGGATTCTGTGTCCTCCTGTTTCTCTGCCCCACCCCAGCTCACACTCATTCCCCTCAAAAATAAGTAAACACTAAAAAAAAAAAATTTTTTTTTTAAAGAAAAAGTCCTGGAAAGGGAAATGTGAGATATAAGGATATGAGCATTTGAAATTTTGACAGAAATTGCTAAATTTCCCCTCATAGAGATTGTGTCAATTTAAAGCCCTCCCAGTAGTGTAGAAAGTGCCTGTTTCTTCCTACCTTTGCCAGTATGGTATCTTACCAACTCTTTTTTTTTTTTCAACCTTTATAAATGTGATAGGTAAACAGTGATATCTGGGTATAGTTTTAATTTGTATCTCTCTTATAATGAGTGTGATTGAGAATATTTTCATATATTTAAGGGCAGTTTGTATTTCTGTCCTAGAAACTATTAATAGCCTTCAGGGGTTTTTTTTGTATAGTACGTTAGTGATCTTTTTCTATTGGTTTGTAAGAGCTTTTTATTTTATTTTATTTTATTTTATTTTATTTTATTTTATTTTCTGTTTATTTATTTATTTATTTTAAGAGAGAGAGAGAGGGAGGGAGAGAGAGAATCCCAAGCAGGCTCCGCACTGTCAGCATAGTGAGATCATGACCTGAGCTGAAATCAAGAGTCAGACATTTAACCAACTGAGCCACCCAGGTGCTCCTGAATTGTACAAGTTTTTTATATAGTAGAGTGTCTAGCAGTTTATCTGTGGTTTTAGTTGCACATATTTCCCCAGATCTGTGTCTTCCAACTTTGTCGTTGGCATCTTAAAAGTCCTTTAATTTTATGGCTTCTGTGTTTTCTATTCTACTTTCCCAGTCTAAGATTGTTTTTAAAAAATGCTATGGTGGGGCGCCTGGGTGGCGCAGTCGGTTAAGCGTCCGACTTCAGCCAGGTCACGATCTCGCGGTCCGTGAGTTCGAGCCCCGCGTCGGGCTCTGGGCTGGTGGCTCGGAGCCTGGAGCCTGTTTCCGATTCTGTGTCTCCCTCTCTCTCTGCCCCTCCCCCGTTCATGCTCTGTCTCTCTCTGTCCCAAAAATAAATAAAAACGTTGAAAAAAAAATGCTATGGCTTCTTTTTTACACATTTATGATTTGTTACTTTTAAATATTTAATCTATCTGAAATTTATCCTGGTCTAAACGTTTTAGGTTTGAAAATAAATAAATAAATAAACAAATAAATAAATAAATAAAGGTTTAGGTTTGAATACAATTTTATTTTTTTCCAGATGGCTAACCAGTTATTCTAAACTATTTGTTGAATAATATATCTTTTCTCTATTGATTTGAAATACTATATTCTAATATTTATATTTTCAATGTATTCACATGTTTTCATTTATAATCAAATGTTTCCCTTGTAACAACTGTCTCCAAAATTTTTCTGATTTCATATTTGTCTCTTACAATCACTGAAAAATCACATTTTCATAATTTTCCTCCCCTTACCTCTCTCCTTTGCTTTAAAATGTTATATCCTGTCATGATGAAAACCCTAGGAATAGAGAGAAATTTCCTCAGCTTGATTAAAAATATCTATAAAAATCATCATACTAAACGAGGAGAAACCAAAAAACTTTCTAACTATAGATCAGGAAAAAGGCAAGAATGTCCCCTTTCATTGCTCCTTTTCAACCCTATACTGGAAATCCTACCTAATACATACAAGAAAAGGAAATAAGGCATACAAATTGGGAAGGAAGAAATAAAACTGTCTTTGTTCAC